TCACATCACAGGCACGACTTGTGGGGACGAGGGAGAGGGCCTTCTCTGTGGTGGCCCCTCAGCTCTGGAATTCACTCCCCAGAGATATCAGGCAAGCCCCCACCCTGGCAGTCTTTAGGAGGAGCCTGAAAACTTGGCTGTTCCAGTGTGCCTTCAAGGATTGAATGTATGATAATTCCTGACCAAACTGCATAAAACGCCCTCAGAAGCACTTTATTTTCCGGTCTGTGCAATTAAATCCTACTATATCCCCGGGAACCCCTGCCCTACCACCCAGTGTTTTTAAAAAATTTAAACATTTTAATCTTTGCATTTGACCCTGTCCATTGTGATTATTTCAGTGTTTAAATGTTCTGATTTTATATTGTTGTGTTGTGTGTGTGTGTGTGTGTATATATATATATATATATATATATATATATATATATATATATAGCATCTTATGTTATTTTATTTTCTATTTTCTGTTGTGTTCTTGTGTTACATTGTTTTACTGTATTGATGGGTGTGGTTTCATATAAGCCACCCCAAATCCCCTTGGGGAGATGGTGGCGGGGTATATATAAAGTATTATTATTATTATTATTATTATTATTATTATTATTATTAACGTTATAGTAGGAGCATTTTACATGATATTGTCGAAGGCTTTCATGGCCGGAGTCACTGGGTTGTTGTAGGTTTTTTCAGGCTGTATGGCCATGGTCTAGAGGCATTCTCTCCTGACGTTTCGCCTGCATCTATGGCAAGCATCCTCAGAGGTAGTGAGGTCTGTTGGAACTGAGGAAAATGGGTTTATATATCTGTGGAATGACCAGGGTGAGACAAAGGACTCTTGTCTGCTGGAGCTAGGTGTGAATGTTTCAACTGACCACCTTGATTAGCATACAATGGGCTGACTGTGCCTGGAGCAAACTTTTGTTGAGAGGTAATTAGATGTCCCTGCCTGCTTCCTCTCTGTTGTTGTGCTGTTGCAATTTTAGAGTTTTTTTAATACTGGTAACCAGATTTTGTTCATTTTCATGGTTTCCTCCTTTCTGTTGAAATTGTCCACATGCTTGTGTATTTCAATGGCTTCTCTGTGTAGTGTGACATGGTGGTTGTGAGAGTGGTCCAGCATTTCTGTGTTCTCAAATAAAATGCTGTGTCCAGGTTGGTTCATCAGGTGCTCTGCTATGGCTGACTTCTCTGGTTGAAGTAGTCTGCAGTGCCTTTCATGTTCCTTGATTCGTGTTTGGGCAATGCTGCGTTTGGTGGTCCCTATGTAGACTTGTCCACAGCTGCACGGTATATGGTAGACTCCTGCAGAAGTGTGAGGATCCCTCTTGTCCTTTGCTGAACGTAGCATGTGTTGGATTTTCTTGGTGGGTCTGTAGATAGTTTGTATGTTGTGTTTCCTCATCAGCTTCCCTATGCGGTCAGTGGTTCCCTTGATGTATGGCAAGAACACTTTTCCTCTGGGTGGATCTTTGTCTTGACTCTTGTGGCTTGTTCTCGGTCTTGCCAGCTCTTCTGATGTCTGAGGTGGAGTATCCATTGGCCTGGAGAGCCCAGTTGAGGTGGTTCAGTTCATCTTGGAGGAGGTGGGGTTCGCAGATTCTTTTTGCACGGTCTGCCAAGGCTTTAATGGTGCTTCTTTTTTGACTTGGGTGATGGTTGGAGTTTTTATGTAGATATCTATCTGTGTGTGTGTGGGTTTTCTGTAGACGGTGTGACCCAATTGTTGATCTGGTTTGCGGATGACTAGGACATCTAGAAAAGGCAGTCTTCCTTCATTTTCTTTTTCCATGGTGAACTGGATGTTTGGTGGATGCTGTTAAGATGGTCCAGGAACCTGTTGAGTTCTTCTTCTCCATGGCTCCAAATGGTGAAAGTGTCATCCACATATCTGAACCATATCGTGGGCTTTTTTGTTGCTGTTTCCAGGGCTTGTTTTTCAAAGTGTTCCATGTAGAAGTTAGCTATGAAGGGCTGAGAGGGCTCCCCATAGCTACTCCATCTTTCTGTTCGTAGAACTCATTGTCCCACTGAAAGTAGCTGGTGGTGAGGCAATGGTGAAACAGAGCTGTGATGTCTTCTGGGAACCTCTGGTTGATGAGTGCCATGGTGTCTGCTACCGGGACCATGGTAAATAGAGACACCACATCGAAGCTGATCAGTTTGTCATTGGTATTTAACTTGAGATTGCTGATTTTTTCTATGAAGTGGGCTTATTTTACATAATGTTTTCTCCACTGTTACTGTTCAGTGTTTGTTTTTGTTTTTGTTTTTTTGTGTGGTATAAATCATGTCCATATGCAGACTGTTTAAAATTGTTTAAGTTCAAAACTTGAATAAATGGCAATTTAAAAAAATGGTGCTACAATGAAGACAGTGGGTTGTTGTAGGTTTTTCCAGGCTATATGGCCATATTCTAGAGGCATTTTCTCCTGACGTTTCGCCTGCATCTATGGCAAGCATCCTCAGAGGTAGTGAGGTCAGCAGCAGATGGAGGTGGTTTGCCCTAAAATCAGACATCTAAATGAGGGGCAATCCACTCACTGTGTATTGTTCTTACTGGGCAGATAGAAAGATGGGCACAGGCAGTGGACCTCAGTTCTCAGGCGGGCATAAATAAGCATAGTCCTGCCTTGAAAATATTGACTTTAAATTTATTGCCAACACCCTAAATTTGGACTGAAATTGGCTGACGCATTTGGCACTAGTTGCAGTTTCTGAGACATCTTCCACTGCAGCCTCATGTAGAATGAATTGTGGTGGGTTATTTAGGAAGGAATTAGTGCATGAATCACTGTGGTTAAGCTATCTCTTTTCCAGAAAAGCCATAGCTGATGGATCACAAAGCTATCTCCAAGCTCTCTAAAGGTGCATCGTCATTGTAGATGTCATGCAGTGTGACACCAACATAACTCCCATGGCTCAATTGTTGACCTGCCCTCCAATGGGTCATCAGTTAATTGATATACAGACAAAGAACAGTCAGATCCTCAGAAAATTGGTTAAGTGCTGTTTATTTCAGAGCAAAAAGCTCACAGATACTGGGCCTAGGAGTGCCGCCGTTATAAACAAGTGCATCAAATATCAATCCTTCGAATAGAAGAAGCCCTCCCTGGATCCCCTGGACATTAATAACTACAGACCAGTGTCTAATCCTTTTTTGGGAAAGGTGATTGAGAAGGCAGTTGCCCTCCAACTCCCTGCAGTCTTGAATGACACACACTTTCTTTTTTTTATTAATCCTTTTTTATTAGAGCTTTTCCCCATCTATCTATCTATGTATATAATAACAGTTAGTGTTTGTATGCGGCGGGAGGGAGGGCGGTGTATGTGGCAGTTTTGTGATTGGCAGCCACTTTCACAAGCCACTGTGACCAGCACGGGTGATGGACCTGGACCAAACTTGGTACACATAACCCCCATGACCCCCTTTACATCCTGGTGAGGTTTGGGGGAGGACAGACAATGGATGATGGGATTTGTAGTACTTTCAAAACCTTTGGTTCCCACAGACAACTGTGGCCCACAACAAAGACCGATAAAGACCAAACTGAGCACACAGAGCCACTCTATATCCTACTGCAGTTTGGAGGAGGGCAGACCATGTATGATGGGACTTGAAGTACCTTCACTCGCTTCCTGAGACCGCTGCGACCCTCACCCAATGACTGACCAAGACCAAACTTGGCACACAGAGCCCCCATGACCCACTCTATGTCTCGGTGAGGTTTGTGGGCCAATGGACCAGGGATGATGTGACTTGCAGTAGCTTCACTCACTTCCTAAGACCACTGTGACCCACACCTGTGACTCATCAAGACCTAACTTGGCACCTTGAGCCCCCATGACTCATTCCACATTTTGGTAAGGTTTGGAGGATGGACCATGGAGCTATACTGCACCTGTACCCACTGAACCCAGCCAACATTGGATCTCGACTAAACTTGGAGCACACACAAACAATGCCTTTCTGAAATAACCTGGGCAGCGCCCGGTCCCCAAGCTAGTATACAATAAAAAGAGGGGGAACATATGAAGTATATAGGAAAGTAGGAAAATATAGGAGTAGGCAGTGGTTAAGTAGGTAATAGGGGTATAGGGAATGGGTAGGTGTGGGAAGGGGGGTAAGTATGGGGGGATGGTCTAGGAAATTGGGGATTTGAAGTCTTCCAGTCCATTCCACAGAGATATTTCCTTTCTAGGTTGCATTTATTTCTTTGAGCTCTGCTATCTAATTGTTTCAGGAAACTTTTAATTCTGGTTATTCGCGCCTTTTTAATTATTGAGTTTCATTTCCTCCTGTAGATACCTTCCCAGTGATTTCCAGTCTGTTTTGCTCATCTTGTTTTGATCTTTTAGTAGCTGCGTCAATGAGTCCATTTTCATGTATTCTGCTATTTTAATGACCCAGTCCTCAATTGTTGGAGGGTCTTTTTCTCTCCATTTCTGTGCTATTACTATTTGTGCCTCTGTTATCAAATAAAATAAAATCTTTGTTTTTTTTTCTATTTTGAAATCTATTATATTCAACAAATAGTACTTCAGATCATATTTTATTTTAATAATGTTTTGTGTGTGTTTATGAATTAGTTTCCAGTGTTTTTTATTACTTTACAGCCCCACCATAAATGATAGTAGGATCCCAATTCCTTTCTGCACTTCCAACACTGGTTCTCATAATTTTTATAGTACTTTGCTAGTTGTTGTGGTGTGAGGTGCCAGCGATAAAACATTTTATACCAGTTTTATATTATATTGATAGATCTTTGAATGAGACACACTTTCTTGACCCATTTCAAACTGGCTTAAAAGTAAGATACGGAGTTGGGACTGCTATGGCCGTCTTAGTGGATGATCTCCATCTCAACACTGACAAGGGATTTGTGTCCCTGTGATGAGGTCCCATGGTCACACCTACCCACAAACATATTGTTTATATGTATCAGACTTCCTTATACATAAAAGAGTCAACTTTTAAAAACCTCCCAATTTGTTTCTTTTAGGTTGTTCTGAATTCTTGATATGGATGCCGCAGAGTTCCGAAAAAGAGGGAAAGAGATGGTGGACTATATTGCTGACTATCTTGAGAAGATAGAAAAGAGGCAGGTCTTTCCTGATGTCCAGCCTGGCTACCTGAGACCTCTTCTTCCAGATTCAGCTCCCGAGGAACCTGAAACATACGAAAACATTCTTAAAGATGTCGAAAAGATCATTATGCCTGGGGTAATACTTGCTAAGTTGTGAATACAAAGGAGCTTTGATGGGTCTATCCATGTGGGCTTATCTTGCTTTATAAAGAATCTGTGTCCTAGTTTTGGGAGAAAGTCAGGATGTAAATAAAGTTAATAATTATAGCATCATAGACTTGAAAAGGCCTGTAAGAGCCATTTTGTCTAACACTCACTGTGCTGGTACAGCTGTACCAGAAGCTCCCCCTTTATTTGCTTTGTATTAAGAGTTTGCTTGCAGCCCAAGGCTTGGGATTCTGCAGAAGGGTGGCTTCCTGTTAAAGTTTGCAGTTATAGGGCAGGCCCCCTGTCCATCATCGTTAAGTTTGGTTCCGCCCCCTGTTCAGGACAATTGAGAAGGGAATGGAGCCATTTTCAGTCAGTCTCAGCAAGGAAAATCAATGTACAGCATGTATACAGACTTCTCCTGTACAAAGGCTTCAACCCTTAAGACCTCCTGGGGGAGAACAGGCTTAAGAGCAAAAGGATTCCCAAAGATTCCCATGGAAACAGCCCTAAAGCCCTGAGGAATTTCGGAGGGAAAAACAGCTTTGAACATCTAAGAACTCCAGCTGAAGTGACTACAGGCCTACTGGTAGGTCCATTCGGTGCTTTGAGACGCAGTTCAACCCAGTAGTGGAGCCCACATCAATTAGGTTTAGGTTCACAGTCAGCCTGGGAGAAGTTTGGAAAGGGATTTTCCTTTAGAGTAAAGTAACAGTTAGAAGCCACCAGTAGCACAAAGGCCTGGAAGCATTTGATAAACCTTTTGAAGACAAAAGAAGTTTCTGTTGATTGTTCACCAATAAAAGACTTTGTTATATTTCACAAACCCTCTAAAGACTGTCTATGGTGAGAATCCTTACGATTTTCTCTTCAGGCCCCCGGGCTTCCCGCTGGACTAAAGTTACACGTCCTGTTTTAAAAGCAATTTATTTCAAGCCCAGCATGCGACAGAACACTCACCATGAACAAATAGAAAACTAAAGCACCTCCATGAGTGTTTTATCCTACTTCAGTTGAAATATTTCCCAAGAAGGAGAGTTCACCACTGTCAGAGGCAGTCTGTGCCACTGTTAAACAGAATTTGTTCATAATATATAAATGGAATCTAAACTTAAATCAAATCAAATATTTATTTACATTCAGCGACCAGTATCGAATCTAACCTTACAATCATCCATCCACATCAGTGTTGTGTTTACATTAAGTTAGAATATAAATTAAAATTTAGCTCCATTTAAGAGAAACTTATAAAACCTGACACTGACTATAAATTTTGAAAAGTTAACCTAGACCTTAAAACCAGATCATATCTAGTTAAAAATATCTCATGCTGTATCATCTAACTGCTGGATGTCACTTTTTATTTTTACAAATGTTGTTGTTGTTCATTCGTTCAGTCGTCTCCGACTCTTTGTGACCTCATGGACCAGCCCACGCCAGAGCTCCCTGTCGGCCGTCACCACCCCCAGCTCCTTCAAGGTCAGTCCAGTCACTTCAAGGATGCCATCCATCCATCTTGCCCTTGGTCGGCCCCTCTGCCTTTTGCCTTCCACTTTCCCCAGCAGAATTGTCTTCACCAGGCTTTGCTGTCTCCTCATGATGTGGCCAAAGTACTTCAACTTTGTCTCTAGTATGCTTCCCTCGGGCTTTATTTCCTGGAGGATGGACTGGTTGGATCTTCTCGCAGTCCAAGGCACTCTCAGAACTTTCCTCCAACACCACAGCTCAAAAGCATCGATCTTCCTTCGCTCAGCCTTCCCTAAGGTCCATCTCTCACATCCGTAGGTGACTACAGGGAATACCATGGCTTTGACTAGGCAATGGATCTTTGTTGCCAGTCTGATGTCTCTACTCTTCACTATTTTATCGAGACTGGACATTGCTCTCCTCCCAAGAAGTAAGCGTCTTCTGATTTCCTGGCCACAGTCTGCATCTGCAGTAATCTTTGCACCTAGAAATACAAAGTCTGTCACGGCCTCCACATTTTCTCCCTCTATTTTCCAGTTGTCAATCATTCTTGTTGCCATAATCTTGGTTTTTTTGATGTTTAGCTGCAACCCGGCTTTTGCACTTTCTTCTTTCACCTTGATTAGAAGGCTCCTCAGCTCCTCCTTGCTTTCGGCCATCAGAGTGGTGTCATCTGCATATCTGAGGTTGTTAATGTTTCTTCCAGCAATTTTCACCCCAGCTTTGCATTCATCCAGCCCCGCACATCGCATGATGTGTTCTGCATACAAGTTAAAAAGGTTGGGTGAGAGTATGCAGCCTTGCCGTACGCCTTTCCCAATCTTGAACCAGTCTGTTGTTCCGTGGTCAGTTCTTACTGTTGCTACTTGGTCCTTGTACAGATTACAAATAGATGCACAGAAGTAGGCCATTAATCTTGAAATTCTACTATCACAAGGTATAGTCCAAAATATCTTTAGTGTTTGAGCCTGAAATATATTCCCCAGAGCAGCAATTCTCAATCTTGGTGTCAGGACCCCTGGGAGGGTCACGAGGGGGTGTCAGGGGGTCACCAAAGACCTTCGGAAAACACAATATTTTCTGTTGGTTATGGTGGCTCTGTGAGGGAAGTTTGGCCCAATTCTATTGTTGGTGGAGTTCAGAATGCTCTTTGATTGTAGGTGAACTATAAATCCCAGCAACTACAACTCCCAAATGTCAAGGTCTATTTTCCCCAAACTCCATCAGTGTTCACACTTGGACATTAATAATAATAATTATTATAATTATAATTATAATTATAATTATTTATTTGACCAGTCATATGACCATTTCAAAATAGAACACGAATAAAAACAAGGCAAAAGGGTGAGGACAGCAGCTGACCTTCTATTTACCACCAGTGTTCTCATTTGGACATATTGAGTATCCATGCCAAGTTTGGTCCAGATCCTTCATTGTTTGAGTCCACAGTGCTCGCTGGATGTAGGCAAACTACAACTTCAAAACTGAAGGTCAATGCCTACCAAACCCTTCCAGTATTTTCCAGTGAATGAAAATACATCCTGCATTTCCGATATTTACATTACGATTCATAACAGTAGCAAAATTACAGTTATGAAGTAGCAACAAAAATAATTTTATGGTTGGGGGTCACCACAACATGAGGCACTGTATTAAGGGGTCACAACATTAGACAGGTTGAGAACCACTGTCCTAGAGCATATCCTTTTTTTGATGTCCTATCTATGAAAAGCCCCATAGTCAAGTACTGGTAGATCTATCTAGCTCAAACACGGTAATTTATATCTATCCATTCATTCACGTTCCACTCTCTTGAGCACCAGAAAATAAGCTTGCTCCATTTTCAGAAGATATTTACATTTTTCATCTCTTAGCTAAACATGCCCAATTTTCAAATATCCTCCTCATAAGTTTTGATTTCCTGACTTTTTGCAATCTTTTTGCCCTTAATCTGGGCACATTCCAGCTTGTCCATATCCTTCTTGAACTATACTACACAGAACTGAATATGATAATCGCAAGTGGCGCCTGGACACTACATTTCTGTTGATGCTGCCTAGAATTACATTTGCTTTTTTATCTGCCACAGAACATAACACTGTTGACTGCTTCTCTTAATTTGATGTTATCTGCAAATTTGATGCCTCCATTCTAGCCTAGAAAGCATGAATAAAGATGTTGAATAGCACTGGGTCCAGGACAGAACCCTATGTCACTTATTACTTTAATCCAGGATGAATAGGAACCATTAGTAAACATCCAGCTTACTTGTCTGAACGTATCTCCCTCTATATTACACCTTGTAGTTTAAGATCCACTGGGGAGGCCCTGCTCTCAGTCCCATCAGCCTCACAAATACGTCTGGTGGGGATGAGGGACAGGGCCTTCTCGGTGGTGATTCCCCCTCTTGTGGAATTCGCTCCCCAGCAAGATTATATCGGCATCCTCCTTCCTTTCCTTTAGGAAAAAAACTGAAATCGTGGTTTTGGAACCAGGTTTTTGGCTAGCAGGCAAAATGGCACTTCGGACATTGAACTGGACCATCTTATTGTTACGATAATGGAAATGGCTATATGACTGTATAATTAATGTTATTGCTTTTAATCTATTGCATATTTATGGTTTTATATTGTTGTTATATTGTGATATTGTGACATTGAATTGTTGCCAATGTTAGCAGCTCTGAGTTCCCCCTCGGGGGTTGAGAAGAGCGGGGTAGAAATGTTATAAATAAATAAATAAATAAATCCTTTGGATTCATTTGATTAACCATTTAGAAATCAACAGTAGCATCGTCTAGTCCAGTGGTTCCCAACCTGTGATCCATAGAGCCCTAAGGACTTCGTGACCCAACCAGGAAAATAAAACAAATGCAAATGGAATGAAATTAAAATATAAAGTTGATTATAAATTAAGATATTGTGGTAAATTTCAAAGTTTTTGAAATACAACTTCATTGCATGGACATTGCACAATAGTTTAGCTATCTCATTTTTTTTATTTTCCCCTTACTAGCTATCCTTTTTTTCTCCCCCTGTAACACTACTCCTAAACACCATAAACTTGGAAGACCTAGGGTAGGTCTAAGGAGCTTATAACTAATCCGACCGCTGCTCCAACAAATTATAATGAATCGCACAACCGCTGTGCCACCAAATTATAAAGATGACACCACTCCAGATCGGCTCATCAAAGTATAGAGGGAGTAATGGTTGTTGAAACCAACAGTATATTTAGAATTTAGGAACTGAGAACCACTGGAACTGTGAGACTTAAAAGAATTCTTTAAAAGTTTTCCACTGCCACCATATTACTACAGAACAGGCTGAGGTACTATTGAGAGGTTGTTCAATAACACACTCTGTGTTACTCTAGTTTCCTTAGAGACTGGTAAAAAGCTGACTTGAATAAAACCTTTAACACAAAGGTATTCACACTGAGGCTGGTATAAGTTGATAAAAATAACAAGAACTTTATTTGAACAGACTTGGATATTTCAGGTACAAATGCTTGATGATT